CATCTATATACATAACAAAACGTTTAACATCATGTTTTGTTTTACGTATTGTATTATGAGAATTTGTATCAGATGAAATAAGAAAGACATTAGGATCAGGTTCATTTATATTTGATGATGTATTTTGTTCATTATCACCAGTTATTCGACGATTAGCTGATGATCTTATAGGTCGACGATTGGAAGTTATTAATATTGTTTGTTCAGTTAATAAATGAGAATCATCATCAATATTTGATGATTTAATTATTTCATCTAATGAATGATTTTCATTGATATCATCACTGATATTATTATTAAAATGTATATCATCATCGAATTCCATTGATTTTTTTTTTGAAATTGAATTATTCTCTACTGCTCTTTTTTTTTGCTGTTTATTATACCTCCAAACTCTTGTTGCTTTTTCTGCTGCTATTGCTGATCTGAAGGTAATGTTTGAATAGTGGTCGTCGGTGACTGAGATGCCATCAACATCTCTTGTGTCGATTTATATTTCTATAAGAAAAGAAGAAAAAAAAAGAAGAAGACGAAGAAGAAGAAAAAAAACTCTCCAAGAATGAAATAGAAGTGAAAGAAGGAAGAAAAAGAAACGTTTGTTTTACTCTTGCTCTGTCGAATACTTCATGTATACATAAGATTGAAAAACTCATTCGATTTTTGTTTATTTACCATATGCATGGCAAAAAAGAAAGAATTTTTTGTTTCAATGGAAGAAATTTCCATATATGATAAAAGTGCATATTAAAAATATGCTATTCTTTCTAGTTTTAATGGGGAAAGCCATATAAAAAGACTAGACTGATTGTTACCTTGGTTAGAGATAATTAGCATGAGCTTTCTAATAAAAAACATTATATTTTTTTTTTATCAAATATCAATGTAAGATTTTGTTTAGGAAATAAATCAGGAAGTGAATCAAACTTTTTTTCTTTTTATTGTTGTTTATTTATCAAATATACATGCAATGATTTTCCATTTTACTTATATTGAGTGATTTATCTTTCAGTATAATATCGAATTTAACTTTCGCTGTTATTTGTTACCCTACACACTTGACTATTTCATTAATAACTAGGAAAAAAACAAGCAGAAATTGTTGAATAATAAGTCAATGTTGATGTCATGCTTGAAATCGGCGCTTAATCATTAAATAATATATTTCTGAGACATATAAAAATAGGAAAAATTCCTTTGTTACTTATTTTGTTATGCACGAATAAGAAAGGCTAGATTAATTATTTGCTTCAATAAACTTAATGTAGTGATAAATTGTATTATAGTATGAAAAATTTTTTCTTAATATTCTTGTCTGTCTGGTAATTATATTCAGTACTGAATTTTGATACTCGTTTTTCAATCTGTGGTCGTTTTTTGAACTATCATCAATAACAATAGGTTGAAGTTCTTATATATTTTATATAAATTTTGACTGTATATGAGGTCTCTATGATTATTATTAGCTGATAATCAAAAACAAACTTCATTTATCAAGTTCTATCGAGAAATACAAAAAAAAACATTTAGAAGGACTTGCTTTAGACAATATAAGTTTTTATCAATTTTACCAAGACCACGATTAGACTTATCGTATGAGGGAACATATCCAACTGTTAGATATCATTTGAATTTAGATTATAGTTGCGAGTAAGTCTCAGTGAGACTACGGAAAGTCTTAAGGGGGTTTGGATACATGACCTACTGATGAAAATATATAGGCGTTTTAATGAAATTTTGATTGGCATTAAGGCATTTCCGAAGAATCCAAAGTAAAGATCTTGAACCTGAAATTTTGTCTATAGACAAATTTCATAATCCTGAAAGTTTCAACATAGAGAGATTGAGTAATCAAGTCTACTTGAAAATTGAATATCTCGAGAAAGACATGTTGAAACTTTCAGAACTATCAAATCTACGTATAGACTATATTACAGCTCAAAACTCTTTACTCTGGATGTTTCCAGAAATCACTTGCTCTCAATCAAAATTTCATTAAAAAGACTATCCTATGTCATACATTTGTTCGTACTACCACCAGTATACCGACGATAGTGCTTATGACTTTCGATTTCAACTATAAATGATTGTAGACTGTATTTCTACCTAAATTCGAATTAACCACGAAGAACAGTTTCAAAATATATCTACTACTAAAAATTTTTCTGATAACTGGGATCGATTTTGGCTTTGTGGCTAGTACGGGTGGTTCAGACGCATAAAAAAAAAGAGCTGCCAATATGCATATATATTATACCAGTTAATATACTGGCAGTAGTTATCACATGGATAATCTAGTATGATATGTGAAAGTCTGCTAAACGAGTTCGTTTAGATCATAGCACAACAAGAAAGAATTAATAAATCATTGTGATCAGTATGATTATCATGTAAGCATGACAGTTCTCCATCACCTAGTTCAATACGACATTTATCTTTTTTAATTTTTTCATTTATTACCGTATGAATGAAAATGACTTAAATCATCTAAATAACAAAAGTTAATAGCATTTTGCTATTATAAAGAAAAATCTGCCAAATTTCACGAATCATTAAATCTATTCATGTGATTCGCACTGAGCAAAAACCGCCGGTACACTATCAACAAACCGTTCTGTATAATGTGTACTACACCGATGGCAGTTTTTACACTTAAGCGATTGGCTATTCTTTGACTGCCAATCTAATATCGACAATAGTGCGAATAAATATAAGACGTAGGTATGGTATTAATATTTAATCCAGCAACTTCGATAATAATATATAATTTTAATTTATCTTTTCTAACTGATTCAATAATAATAAAAAAATGTTTTATAATTTCACAAAAATAATAAAACATTGTGAGATTAAAAATAATATACCGTTAACTATTGTATCAAACTTTTGTGCATATACCCAATTATATCCAATAAAATAATATTATTAGATAAATTATTTTTCAATCCTACTAATTGCTCGAATGTTACTCAACAAATGAACGCATTCAACAATAATAGCAACTGACTGAATCATATAACTTAAAATAAATTTAACCAAGAAAAAGTTCAATTGCTAGAATAATTAATCTTCTTAATCAATAGATTTTTTGATATAGAATGATGAGAATATTTATTTATCTTGAATGTGATGTAGTTAAACATTGATCAGTGTACACTGGATATATGCAGGAGCAAGCTTTTTTTAGTTCCGATTTTGGTAATATCTATTTCCAATAGTTCCAGACTTCATTTGCATAGTAACTAAAAAAAAATCATTAAATACTCATTTTTTTTCTATTTATTTAGTTGATCAATAATACTTTGCCATCTCTCCTGACTTATGCTTTAATTGGTGCGATTTATAAAATAATTCACTGGAAACTATACAACATTTAACTATAATATTTTGTTCCGATCTCGAAATCAAAGTTGGTTCCCTATATCTCTCGTGTACACTGATAATCTACTCTTCCATAGACTGTAAGTAGAAGGTCTAGAAGTAATAATTCATCTGTGTTCGTTTGTCTGTAATATAGTTACCTTATATGGTTACTATGGTTCAAATGACAATCGCGTAGGATAATAAAAAAAAGACATCTACCCATTAAGATTCAAATTAACCGATGAGTAGTGTCTTAGGATGCAGAATACGAAATCGACGTATACTCTATATTTCACTACATATGATCGTAACACGGAGCCATGTAGTGCGCCAATAAGATAATTTATGGTCGTTGACAAGCGTACTTGTTCCATATGGGATGACTTGAGACGTGACGATCTTTGTTATTAAATTATTGAATGGTTCGATTGATTGTTCAATGCTGTAGACATGAAGATGTGATGTTATAATTATTAAGAATTAGATGATGAGTCTGAACATATGATTGTGATCAACTAAAATTTCATTATTTGAAGAATATTTGCAATAGAAATTGTGTTAATATAACTGACTGTATTGATTTCTATGTTATATTTATAAATTAATATAGATATATAATTACACCTTATTCCAAATATGAAGAAAATGCAGAATAATAGGCATAATAAAAAACCGAAAAGTTTTCAATTTCAAATATTTAAATGCCAAGCATATAATTTCCATAATCAATATCCTACTATTTATGACTGTATATTATTTGCAGAAATATTACTAATTTGATTTACATCAATCGGCGATAAAAAGAATTTTTATCCATCGTATTCAATTATGATTTGGAAATTAAATAGAAATTTTTAAGAAAAGTATTAAAGAATAAAAATGAATGTCATTGCAATGATTAAAAAATCAAATTTATAAAATTTCTATAGAAAAACCAACAACATTGTATAAAGATAAAAATCAAATTTATTATCAGGAAAAATGATAGGTTTGACGAGATGAATCACTTTTATGTGTCAAGTCACTTGCTTAATTTATTTAATACTTAAGAGTATCCCTCCCCCCGTCTCTGTTTTGATTAAAAACTCAATTTCGAGTTTGAGGGCATAAAGTATGTACCATGGTACAGAAATTGATGTTAGAATTTTAAAAACTTCCGATCGATAAAATCATTTTACGAGAATATTTTTTTTTTAAATAAATCAATTAAAATTAATTAACATTTCTTCTTACTAAATCAAATATTTCTTTATTAATAAATAAAAATAAATTTAATATTAATGGAACATTATATCTGACATCTATATGAAATTTTCATTTTCATTCAAAAATTATAAGTAAAAGAGTTGTTGTTATGGTAATCGTTCGAGAGATATAATGGCGTTAACATAAATGTAATTTATATATTGTTTTGTCACATGTTTGCAAAAACAATTTAATCATGAGTACATATGATCAAATGATAGTTGATAATCGATATCTTGGTGATTTTAATAATGAAAAATATTTATTTTCTAAACAATCTAATATGCAAGAAGATCTATCAAATAAAGATGACGATGGTAATGGTTTACTTGGACGAAGAGTTTATTTAGAATCACCATCATTTGGTAATAAAGAAGAAGAAGATATGTATAGATATGTTTCAAGTCGTTTAACTGATCGTACAGGTTCTATAATTGATACAAAAGTACCAGTACATACAGGTGCAGCATTAATGGATTCACTTGATTTTGAATTAGATATTCTTGGTACTAATAATACTCGTTCTCAAATACCTCATCGAAGAGAACCATATCCAATTAAATCACAAGAACAATTATCTAATACTTTAACAAATATGCCAAGGTATATATATATATATATATATATATATGTTATTTAAAGTATAAATAAATATACTTTATGTATAGAACTAATCCTCGACAAGATCCACTACTTGGCCCTTTACTTGCTGAACTTGAT